CTACTCGGTCGACCATTTCTGCAAGTTCGACAGTTACTGTTTTTGGAGCTACTGCTAGTACTATTTAGGCTTGTTTAGGTAAGCGTTGTAACCACATTTGTTTTATTAAGTGAGAAGAACAATTTTATCCGGCTAAAGATTTGATTTTCGACAACATTAATGAATGTTTTTCGTCACCTATTGAAATTCCGGAAATTAAATCGCGAAATTTTTCTTCATTAGTTCTACCATATGTGTTAATGAGCTTATCTTTTAAATTTTAATAACAGTTTTCGGTATTGTCTAAGTCTAAAATGTCACTTAGTTTTCCTATTATGTCTACATCTAGCATGGCCAAGATATTGTCAAATTTTGTTTGAGACTTACTTATGTGTGATAGTTTAAATTGAGCTTCGGCTCTTTTGAACCATGCAGCTGGGTCACATTTCCAAAATAATGGCAGCTTTACACCATCTATATTGATATTATCTTCTGTTTCTGTTGTTGTTTTGTCTACCATTTTTCCTTTGTCGAGGTCACCAATTTTTAGTGCTTCACTTATAGATTTGAAATAAATAAAAAGTCTAATTTATATAACAGAACAAATGTAGACGGTTTATTGTTTAAACACTAAAAAAATTTATATAAAAATTATATTAGTGCACTACGTGTACTTAACTACTTTACCGATTAACTGACGACTGGCTAACTAACTGTTTGACGTTATTGTTACGTCGCGCCGTTTTATATTGTTATGAGTTCTAAAAGATTCTCTTACGGAGCGATCGAGAACATTCGCGCGTATATGAATTTTGTGTTGCCTATCCGTCGCAAAGATTCTCGATCATTCCATAGTCACTTTACATTTTTTAAAAAGTTATAGCAACATAATGTTAAATATAATATTAAGACTTTTTTCACAAAAATAGCATATTTTTCCATACGGTAGTCATTTTCACCATGAAGACAAATCCTGAGATCAAATTTTTTTTTTAATTAAAGTATATTACATTAGCTTTAATTTAAGGTATATATAAAAGTGTCAGTATTTCTGGAAAACTTTCAAAAATTAAATTGAAAATGTCCTAGTTTCAATACGCATGTCTAAAGTTTTGTCCCCCATTGTATAAAGAGGAATGATCCGATTTACAAAAAAAGTGTGTCAGATGAAAGAGGTATATAAAAAAAATAATAATATTGATCCATACATTTTTCCAAAAGTTATAGCAATATAAATTTAATAAAATAAAATCATAAATTTTTTCACAGAAATCGTACGTTTTTCTTTAAATTTAATGTCTGTTTTCACCACGAAGACAAGTCCAGAGGTCAAAAATTTTTTTTCAAAATAATGTATATTACATAAGCTTTAATTTAAGGTATATATAAAAGTGTCAGACTTTCCGGAACATTTTCAAAAGTAAAGTTGAATAAGTTAATTTTTTGTAAAAATGTTACCATTTTGAAACCCTTCCTGTGGGCTTGTAAAGGGNGTTGAATAAGTTAATTTTTTGTAAAAATGTTACCATTTTGAAACCCTTCCTGTGGGCTTGTAAAGGGTCAAATGTTCACAAAAATATACAAAATAATACTTAAGATATCTATATAAAAAAAAAAAATTATATTGATTCGGTCATTTTTTTGTTAAAAATGCCATAACTTTGTTAGTTATGGCAATTTTAGTAAAAAAAATTGAAAAAATGTCGAAAATTAGCGATTTTTAAATTTGTAATTTTTTGGGGGATTTCCCCCGTTTACGAGGAACGAGGGATTTTTTTTTTCAAATTTTAAGGGTAATGTTTTTGACTAGATACGATTTTTGATCTTTGGACATATTTTTCATCAAAATCGGTCCAGCGAGAGCTGATATTGAGCGTATAAGGATGCAAAAAAAAAAAAATAATAAAAAAAAACACATCATAGTAAAATTAATACCTTCTCAGCTTCGCATCGAATCTAAAATAATATAAAACTGCATAACAAATTTACATTTGCCCCATACTTCTGGGGTAAATGAAAATAACTATTTCCAACTGCAAATGTTATACTGAACACACATAATGGGAAAATGAAATTGTTCTGTTACAGCTATCATTATATTAGTTCATATATTCGATACCTAGAAATTTCCATTTGACCCAAATAGTATATTGTGTATGGGGTAAATGAAAATTAAAGTATAGTTGATAATTTTATAAGTCTGGGGCAAATGAAAATTTGTTTGAATTACATAAATTACAATTAAATTAGTCAAATAATTAGGTAAACTTTATTATTTTAACATAATTTAGTACAGTTTAATACTTACTTACTATTTCATTACTTTCAAAATATATTAACAGTCTTTTGTTTTCATATAATAGTGATAATAACAATTTAACATAAAAAATAACAATGTAAAGTAAAAATTATAAACAAAATAACAAACTAACAGCCTTTTTAGTTTTAAAATATATCACATAAATTAATATATGAAAAAGTAGGTAACATAATGCCTAAACTAATTATTTTTCATCGACATTAATGTATCCAGGAAATGTGTATATCGTTTTTCTGTTCTTCTTGTGTTCAGTTGTTATTGGTAATATTGCAAGAATCATCTCTACTGTAATATCTGACAAGTCATTTTCAACAATATAAATATCAGTTCCAATTTCATTATTTTTTTAGCTTCGATGCGAAGCTGAGAAGGTATTGGTTTTACTATGATGTGTTTTTTTTTTGTGCATGTTACCACTTTTTCTCAGCTCTTACAAAACGGATTTCTTTCAGCGATACGTCAAAAGATCACAAATCGTATCTAGCCGAAGACATTACCCTCAAAAATTGAAAAAAGTTTCCCTCGATCATTAATCGATCAAAAATCGCTATTTTTCGAAATTTTTAAAATTTTTTTTACTAAAAACTGCCATAACTTTTTTAAAAATGAACATATCAATATAATTTTTTTTTAGAGATGCTTGATGTCTTTTCTATCATTTGGTATATATTTTTTTATAAATTTAAGCCTTTACCAGCCCACAGGGGGAATTTAAATCGACAACTTTTTCACAAAATATTAACTTTTTCGACTTAACTTTTGAAAATGTTCCGGAAGGTCTGACACTTTTATATATATCTTAAATTAATACTAATCTAATATACTTTAATTAAAAAAAAAAAAATTTGACCTCAAGACTTGTCTTCGTGGTGAAAATGGCTACCGAATGCTATTTTTGTGTGAAAATTCTCGATTTTATATTTTTAATTTTTTACTTTATAATGCTATAACTTATTGAAAAGTGTATGAATCGTGTTAATTCATACACTTTTTTGAAAAATTGTGTTAATTTTTTAATGGAAAATAATATTTTTTAATAATTCCTTTTTCATTCGACATACTTTATCTTAATCAGGATATAAATAAGGAAATAGCAAATCATGTAGCTTTGGAATAATCCACCGATTTTTTAAATTTAAATACTATCTAAAGATTTGCATCAAAGCGTTTTTTTTTTTATAGTGATTTTAATCACTGTCAGATATCATTATACTTGATCCAACTATGCTACATCACCACTGTGCCGCGACCCCTTGTCCTGGGTTTTTTTAATCCTTGGACTAAAATATCCCCATCATCTTCATCTACACGTTTAACTAAACATACATACTTAAAATGTTGTTTCTTACAGTTCCCTCCAATAAAATCTACTAAAAGAAATACTCCAGGTTTTTTTTGAGACCAAATTGGTGTATTGTATAAAACTTCTTCAATACTTAAATCTAATGAATTGTCTTTACAATCATCTTCTGATGAATGATGAACTACATCATCAATATTATCAACTGATTGTTTCAACACAATATTTTGTGTATCTTTAATAGCCTTCTTAGGTCTTCCACGTTTACTGGGATATTTGATTACCTTTTTCTTTGAGGTTGCTTCTTCCAATTATTTTAACACATCTTTATTTGTTAAAACTTCACCATACTTTGTTGCTCTAAGACGAGGAACTCGGTCTTTTGTAATACAAATTGTATTATTAGTTTTATATTGTATTAATTGAATTAAAAAAAAAATAGATATTATATCTTTTGGGCTTACTGATATATTATTACTTGACTTTGGAAAAATTTGGTCCATAAAAGTATTTGACGTTGAGGTTTTAATGAAATTTGATTTTCTACAACTGTCGATATGTTTTTTTGAATAATTACGCACTCTGAAGTTGAAAAAAAAATTATAAAGACCGTAATATTTCAAATTATATTTGTTAATAATAATTCCATTTTGTTTTCAATTCAGTTAATGTGAGTAATTAGTTTAATTTTTTAATAACTATAGTTCTTAAAGTAATTATAATAAAAATAAATATTGTATAATAAACAAAAATTAAATAATAGGAAAGAAAGGTACAAACGTGTGATATTATAATAGGATACAATTAATAATTCCATGTACTCTTAAATTTTAAAAATTTAAGCGACATTTAATAAAACAGCAAATCTATTATGTTTAGTTGAAGTTGATGGTGCTGGTTCTTCAATTAGTAAGCAAATAATTACTAACATTAAGTTAATATTACGGCACAAGACATATAATTAACATTGTGTATTACAAAGTTTTTTTTGCATTTAATAAATTTAATTTCAGTTTAGGCACTTTATAATTGAATGAAATAAAATTATTTATTTTTACAAAGTTTATTTTGCCATTGGAGGGAATGAAGAGTTTTTATGATAAATAAAATTTCACATTAGTGTGACCCATCAATTTGTATTAAAATTTCACTGGGAGTCCTGTGATGTAGTTTATTTTTAGTTTAATCGATTAAATAACAAAAAAGACCGAAAAACCCATAAATAAAGTGATATTTTTTTCCAACTTTGAACTCAAAGTTCAGGAGAGGGCGCAAAAATTACAAAAAATCGACTGACCATTCAATTTGTATGAGAATTTTGCGGGAAATATTGTGGTATGATTTATTTTTAATTTTAGAGAAATTCGGGGGGGTTATTCCAAAATTCCTCCAATTTTGGAAAAAAAAAACGAGGTCCTGTTTTACACTTTACCAGGATACTCGCTCATACATTACTATGGTTCGAAAGATTTACACCCTGTATAAAACTGCAACATTTTATTAAAATATTTAAAACATTCTAATATTAGTATTACAATATTTGACTTTTTATGTTGTTATATATATTTTAAAGAATGCGCTATTTGTTTGAGAAAGCCAATCAAAGATATTTGTATAACACCATGTGTACATAAATTTTGTAAAGTATGTATAAACACATGGTTACAAGATAATAATACATGTCCAATGTGTCGAACTCTACTTAATGAAAACAATGGTAATTTATACAAATGATACACATAGTTATATTTAGTTATTACAAACTCACTAAAATATATTACACTACAACAATGTGTGGATATACAATTAATAATTTCATGTACTCTTAAATCTTAATACTTTTAGCGAAATAAAATTAAAAAAAAACATACTAGATTGAATTTTACAAACATATCTAGAATGAACGGAATTGTTCAACTAATTCCAAATATTACAACTTTTATCATCATTCGATTACTCTTACAATTATAGAGTACTTCAACGATTTCTTTTAGAATATTGATATTGTTCTGAATTTCAGCTATATTATTGAGCAATATTGAAAATAAAAATTGTTTCCGAAATCTCGATATAACAATATCAAAAAAAAAAAAAATTATATTCAAAAATTAAATTTATAATCTAATATTTTTCACCATTTTTTTATTTTCAAGTATACCGTTAAGATACCATTGTTGTAAAAATCAAACTATTGTGTACTAACCAAATAAGTTAACAATATTAATTTAAAAAAATATATAGATAATAGCTATATCTCATAACGATAATTAAATATTTTTTACTTATTATTTTTTAACACGCTTATATTAGTTTCACAATTATGTTGTGGGTTGTGTGTTTGTTCTGTGTTTATTGTTTTTAATTTTCGCGTGCCACGTGATATTATTCTCGCGTATTCCGTTGTGTATGGCCTTGAGGCTAGAATGTCGTAACGCATTCACCCCATCCCGCTCACCACTCGACTACAATAATATAATACTGTATAATTTTATTTTGGTTTTCTTACCTGAACATGTGTGCGTGTCATCAATATTATATATATATATATATAAACAAATTTTTATTGTTTATTATGAGAGATATAAACATTTAAAGATTCAAATTTTTTGAGTTAATATACATGTATAATACATAAGGGATTATTAATACAGGTAGCTAATTGGTTTTTATGAAAATATTCGCAGGTATATAGTCTTTATTATCAATGGTAATAAGACGCATTGTTGTGAGTTTATAAACACACTAACAAATTTTTATTTTGTCTGATCAATACCGCGCCTCACGTATATATATATACAGGGTGTTCAGTAAGTCAGGAAACGGGTTTCTATTGTTCTCATTGTTACAAACAACCCGTTTCCTGACTTACTGAACATTCTGTATATTCCTGACGCCGCATCCGAAATTTATACCTTAGGTATAACGTTCCCCCCGCCTACAAAACAAGTCTATACCTAGTGCATGATACGTTTACGTACTTTAGTCGCTTTTCATGTATATATATTCTAATTACTATTAAAAATATATATTAACACACTTTATTCTTATTTAGAGATATAGAACTCATTCATTCCGATTTCGTCACTACCTCCACGTTCCGGGAGTGGGTAATTTACGCGCCTGCTGCTTTCCTTGGATGTGGTAGCCGTTTCTCAGACTCCCTCCCCGGAATCAAACCCTGATTTCCCGTTACTTGTTACAACCATGATATTGATAGTAACTACTATCATAACATGAAACTAAAAATTGTAAAATAAATATAGTTTAAAAAAACACGTTTTTAAAGTACATTGAACTAAAAATTATTTTTAACTTCTTAGTTCGATGTACTTTAAAATCGTGTTTTTTTAGTTTTTTTAAACTATATTAATTACTTAATAAATAAGTATTTCAAAAAAAAAATTGATATTATTGCAAAAAAAAAAAAAGTCGGCGATATCGTATTTAATCGAAATGTTGATATAGTTGATATAAAATAGTAACAGTGTCCAGAATATATTTTTTAGAATTATTAGTTTTATACATTTCTAAATATATCAATTATTCAATGTTATTTATATAATCAAAACTAATGTGCTAATTTTCTTTTTATATATTGGCAACATAAATATATTACTAGTTTATAAATGAAAAAATGACCTTCATAAATACTAGTCGATAATAATTTTCGAACCAGCATGTAGAAAACTTTTATAATTTAAAATAATAACAGGATGAAAGTGTGGGTCTTGAAACTAATATCACTAGACATTTTTGGACCTTGATCCATCTCAATTCTAGGTATAAATTATTAATAACTACCAACAAAAATTTTTATTTTTTTACAGATTTTCTTGAAGATATACTTAGAGAAAGTAATGTTTATCAAATAAGATTTAAATAAAAGAATAAGTTATAATAGTAAAAAATATAACACAGATAAAATGTTGAAAAAAAAAGCGATTTCTATAGTCTATAAAAAGTTTTTGTAATTTAACAATAAAAAATATTATAATAACTATTTAACACTATCTACTAAAAAAAAATAATTTATACTTAAATTTAATTAATTTCAATGAGATTAAAAACAAAAACTCATCTACTACGATTAAATGAACGTGATAGGTAGTCCTTCAATCGGCAAGAAATAAATTACCAACATAAAGTTAATTTCGAATAAAAGCAATATTTTAATAAAACTAACAATTATTGGATAAATATTATATNCAATATTTTAATAAAACTAACAATTATTGGATAAATATAATATTATTATAGAAAACATAGAAGTACATATAATTATTTGTATAAATGAATATATCCAAATAACGACGAAGAGATTTTTAAAGAGTGCCTGAATAATTTTTATACTCTACACTAACTAAAAAAACCCACATTCTTGAACAATATTAGACAAAAGTTGGGTGTTAATTTAATAATTAAATTTCACTTATTACAATATTGATCATCTATGTTTAGGTGAACATGATCGTCATCGTCCATCAAATCGTAAGAAATAAATTAAATTAATACTAAATTAAAGTTATTTCCGAATAAAAATGTTATTTTATTCTAAATTTCACTTATTGATTTATTAATAATGTTAATTATTTGGACTTGAAATTGATAATTTTGTTGCATTTTGCAATTTGAATATATTTAATGACATATAATAAACAAATTGATCATCTATGTTTAGGTGAACATGATCGTCATCGTCCATCAAATCGTAAGAAATAAATTAAATTAATACTAAATTAAAGTTATTTCCGAATAAAAATGTTATTTTATTCTAAATTTCACTTATTGATTTATTAATAATGTTAATTATTTGGACTTGAAATTGATAATTTTGTTGCATTTTGCAATTTGAATATATTTAATGACATATAATAAACAAATTGATCATCTATGTTTAGGTATAGGTGTTAGCAGTGGTACTTCATCTGGTAAGAAATAAATTACTAATATTTTATTTTTTTCCAATAGAAAGTTAGTTTAAACACTTATTGACATATTGATAATGTTAATAATTTTGATTTTAAATAAATAAATGATTTTATTGAATTTTGCAATTTGAATACATTTAATGATATGTAATAAAAAATCTATTAATTTATGTTTAGGTATAGGTGTTAGCAGTAGTACTTCAACTGGTAAGAAATAAATTACTAAATTAAAGTTATTTCCGATAAAAAATATTTTTTTATTCTAAATTTCACTTATTAACATATTGATATTGTTAATAATTTGTATTTAAAATTGATAATTTTGTTGAATTTTGCAATTTGAATATTTTTATTGACATACAATAAACAAATTGATCATCTATGTTTAGGTGAACATGATCGTCATCGTCCATCAAATCGTAAGAAATAAATTAAATTAATACTAAATTAAAGTTATTTCCGAATAAAAATGTTATTTTATTCTAAATTTCACTTATTGATTTATTAATAATGTTAATTATTTGGATTTGAAATTGATAATTTTGTTGCATTTTGCAATTTGAATATATTTAATGACATATAATAAACAAATTGATCATTTATGTTTAGGTATAGGTGTTAGCAGTGGTACTTCATCTGGTAAGAAATAAATTACTAATATTTTATTTTTTTCCAATAGAAAGTTAGTTTAAACACTTATTGACATATTGATAATGTTAATAATTTTGATTTTAAATAAATAAATGATTTTATTGAATTTTGCAATTTGAATACATTTAATGATATGTAATAAAAAATCTATTAATTTATGTTTAGGTATAGGTGTTAGCAGTAGTACTTCAACTGGTAAGAAATAAATTACTAAATTAAAGTTATTTCCGATAAAAAATATTTTTTTATTCTAAATTTCACTTATTAACATATTGATATTGTTAATAATTTGTATTTAAAATTGATAATTTTGTTGAATTTTGCAATTTGAATATTTTTATTGACATACAATAAACAAATTGATCATCTATGTTTAGGTGAACATGATCGTCATCGTCCATCAAATCGTAAGAAATAAATTAAATTAATACTAAATTAAAGTTATTTCCGAATAAAAATGTTATTTTATTCTAAATTTCACTTATTGATTTATTAATAATGTTAATTATTTGGATTTGAAATTGATAATTTTGTTGCATTTTGCAATTTGAATATATTTAATGACATATAATAAACAAATTGATCATTTATGTTTAGGTATAGGTGTTAGCAGTGGTACTTCATCTGGTAAGAAATAAATTACTAATATTTTATTTTTTTCCAATAGAAAGTTAGTTTAAACACTTATTGACATATTGATAATGTTAATAATTTTGATTTTAAATAAATAAATGATTTTATTGAATTTTGCAATTTGAATACATTTAATGATATGTAATAAAAAATCTATTAATTTATGTTTAGGTATAGGTGTTAGCAGTAGTACTTCAACTGGTAAGAAATAAATTACTAAATTAAAGTTATTTCCGATAAAAAATATTTTTTTATTCTAAATTTCACTTATTAACATATTGATATTGTTAATAATTTGGATTTAAAACTGATAATTTTGTAGAATTTTGCAATTTGAATATTTTTGTTGATACATTATGAACAAATTGATCATATATGTTTAGGTGAACAGGATCGTCATCGTCCATCAAATCGTAAGAAACAAATTACTAAATTAATGTTATTTCCGATAAAAAATATTATTTTATTCTAAATTTCACTTATTAACATATTGATATTGTTAATAATTTGGATTTAAAACTGATAATTTTGTTGAATTTTGCAATTTGAATATTTTTGTTGATACATTATGAACAAATTGATCATCTATGTTTAGGTGAACAGGATCGTCATCGTCAGTCAAATCGTAAGAAACAAATTACTAAATTAATGTTATTTCCGATAAGAAATATTATTTTATTCTAAATTTTAATATTAACATATTGATATTGCTAATTATTTGTATTTGAAATTGATAATTTTGAGGAATTTTGGTAATTTGAATATTTTTATTGATACATTATAAGCAAATTGATCATCTATGTTTAGGTGAACATGAACGTCATCGTCCATCAAATCGTAAGAAATAAATTAAATTAATACTAAATTAAAGTTATTTCCGAATAAAAATGTTATTTTATTCTAAATTTCACTTATTGATTTATTAATAATGTTAATTATTTGGATTTGAAATTGATAATATTGTTGCATTTTGCAATTTGAATATATTTAATGACATATAATAAACAAACTGATCATCTATGTTTAGGTATAGGTGTTAGCAGTGGTACTTCATCTGGTAAGAAATAAATTACTAATATTTTATTTTTTTCGAATAGAAAGTTACTTTAAACACTTATTGACATATTGATAATGTTAATAATTTTGATTTTAAATTAATAAATGATTTTATTGAAATTTGCAATTTGAGTATTGTTTATGACATATAATAAAAGAACTGAACATCTATATTTAGGTGATCGTGATCATCGTCGTCCTTCAAATCGTATGAAACAAATTACTAAATTAAAGTTATTTCCGATAAAAAATATTTTTTTATTCTAAATTTCACTTATTAACATATTGTTATTGTTAATAATTTGTATTTGAAATTGATAATATTGTGGAATTTCGCTAATTTGAATATTTTTATTGACACATTATAAACAAATTGATCATCTATGTTTAGGTGAACAGGATCGTCATCGTCCATCAAATCGTAAGAAATAAATTAAATTAATACTAAATTAAAGTTATTTCCGAATAAAAATGTTATTTTATTCTAAATTTCACTTATTAACATATTGATATTTTTAATAATTTGGATTTAAAATTGATAATTTTGCAATTTGAATATTTTTGTTGATACATTATGAACAAATTGATCATCTATGTTTAGGTATAGGTGTTAACAGTGGTCCTTCAAATCGTAAGAAATAAATTACCAATATTAAGTTTTTACTGATTTATACATTTTTTATAATGTTATGACAATTTTAAGTTAAATATGTCGAAATTGAGCTGTTTTTAATATTGTATTTTTTTTTTTGGATTTTTCTCTCATTTATATGGTAACGAAAGAAATTTTTTCATTTTTGGAGGTTAATACTTACGCCTAGAATCAATTTGCGATCTTTTGACGTATCATTAAAAGAAATGAACTCCGTGATAGCTGAGATAAAGTGGTAACAGCCATAAAATTGAAAATATACATCATAGTATAATTTATACCTTCACAGCTTCGCATTGAAGCTATAAGCTAATTATCTACGTTTAGTTGAACATGGTCTTCGTGGTGCTTCTACTTGTAAAAAGTAAAATATTAACTGTTTTGCCCTATTAAATAAGTTTCGTCGATGTTTTTTAATCTTAATTTTGTATAGCTCACCGCTTGCGTATGTATAATAAAGGCATATCAATTTTTGTACTATACGTTTTATTTTAAAATTATTTTATATCTTTTAGTGATAAAGTATCACGTTCGAATATGTAGCCTTTCACCTGAAACGTCTAGTATATATCGGAACTCGAAAGTGCAAACACTTGCGTAACGAGACTGCGTAATTAGAGTACACGTGTAAAACTTGTATGTGCATGTTCGTATATAATTTTTAGGGAATCGACTTGGAAAAGCATTAATTTCAACCCAACATAGTGTGTATTAGCAGCGATTGAAATATGCGGAGTACAATAATATTATTATATGTTATCAACGTAAAAGTGCTTTAGATATTGTTATAATTATTGTGAAACAAATATAGTTGAGTGTAAAAAACCCATGCAAAATATTTAACAGGTAATAGAGCTTATATACAGGGTGTTCAGTAAGTCAGGAAACGNTATATATATATATATATATGTATTAGTAACGATCACTTTCTTTATTTTAGAACAATTATTATTTATTATCGGTAAAAGCCAAAATAAGACTATGCCTGGAGATAACCGTAAGAGTGAAGCTATACAAAAGGAGAGGTCAATTACAATCGACATAGACCGAACTCTTAAAATTTATTCGGGGAAGAAGTCGGACTTAATAAAAATTCAGCTTAGAGGAAAAAAAATTGAGAAAGCATGGACTGAGTACGACCAAGTACAGTTGGAAATCAACATGCTTGAAGGGGTAAACGTAGAGAAACAACAAAATTATAGAGTTTGAAGACTCACAACTTAAAGTCAGTACTATTACGGAGAAGAGGCTATCTGAATTGCTTAGGATAGTCGGCATGTGTATCTATGTCATCTAAGTTTAGGAGATAGTTATCGTCTTGGTGCTTCAACTGGTAAGAAATAAATTACTAAATTTAAGTTAATTTCAAATAAAATGATTTTATTTTAAATTTTACTTATTAAGATATTGATAATGTTAATAATTTGGGTTTAGAGTTGATAATTTTGCAATTTGAATATTTTTGTTGATACATTATGAACAAATTGATCATCTATGTTTAGGTATAGGTGTTAACAGTGGTCCTTCAAATCGTAAGAAATAAATAATGAAATATTCACGTCAAAGGCTGTTTTTGGCACTACAACACTGGCTACTCGTAGTCAATCTATCAAAAATTATAAGGTACGTAGCAATGCATATGCGGTTATATATACGGATAAAAAATGCTTAAATTGTCATGCAAATCACTCGGTGTATCGATTTCCTAGTCTAATGTAAAATCTATTGGGTGATCGCAATTGATAATGATTTGCATAGTGTTGCGATCAGCTGTAAAAGAAATAACGTTTCGATCACCCAACTTTTTGTCACCGATTTCACTGCTGTTATCCTTGAGTAAACCAACCGTTGGCAACAATGGATCATCAAAATCTATTTGTTGTTGTTGCACACTGTACTTGTCCGTGATTCATTTCTGTAAATTGTCAAATTCGTACGATCGCGTCGGTATTGTTATCACCATAATTGATTTGTCAACAGTACCAAAAATAAATTTGTTACATTCCTCGTCAATATTAAGTATAGTGTTCCACGTATGCAAGCTCAATAGCCCAATTTTACATTTGACACTGACATCGATGGGTGGATTGAAAGTGCATTGCAATTCAGATCCCACGCCGGTTAACGTGACCGTTGTTGTTCGGTTAAAAATTTCAAACACAAGTGACCACAGTTTACCTCGCCGAAGTTTTGACATCTACTATAGTTGTGCATGATTGTACATCCTTTAAAATATCGTTGCAGTTCCAACGGTGGTCGTAAATTACCAAAACTGTAAAAATACGTAACACGTTTACCGCGTTTACTATAAGTTACCCAATGCGTGCCAGGGTTAGTGGAAAGATCCAAGTTCACTACAGTCATTTCGGTCACGACTTAGGTAACGTGTCACGACAAAACACGCCACGAAACACTTTACGGTCGAACGCTCGACTACCGAAATTTGCAATTTCAACATCGTACAAGGTACGATCGGGTAGCTGTGAAATTAGCTTTTTGTTTTTTTCGTCTGATTTTTTCAAGTCGTCTTTTTCTTAGTTTTCGTACTCGTCGTCGTCAATTTGAAACCAAACTCCGATTTGTATGATTGCAGGTAAAATCCTTTACCCATGCTTATCGCTGTATTGCCTTTACGGCTAAGTTCGGTAGCCATCTTGACCACATTTGCAGCACCGCCAGCTAAAGCTACCAACACCGAAAGTCTGGTAATAAGCGTATTAATAAGTATAAGTGGTAGTACACCACCTAGTTTTCGGAACGTTTATGGTACATGGCAGTGGAATTTTTTTCTATCTCACCACACGTCGTGTCGCCTTCAACAATTGTTTTGCCACACTCAGTAAATCCATTTGTTGAGCTTTTTATATCAAGTTTAGCCGCATGCACGACCCGTTTGAAACCCATACCGAGTTTACATTTCAATTTCATCGCGTTGGTCACACCCCAAGCTGCGACTCGTTCAGGCAATTGAACGACTCGTTCTCAAGCCCGATGTTCCAACACCTTGTCCGCTTTATGACGTTCTTTGTGATTCTTATATTTACTATAAATGATATCGTAATTGCGGCAAGCAGCATCAAGCGGGTTCACCCCAACATCACCACGCTTCAATCTCTTTTCTAACCGTGTTCCAGGACCCGCAAATTGATAACCTAAATGATAAACATTTAAAGTAATGATAAAACTATTTGCGAGGAATTACTTTGAATAATTACACACACACCTGGAATGTGGTCTTCGAATGGTAATTTGTTGATTACAGTATTCAATATCCCTGCACCTCGTTTTCCACGTTGTCTCTGTTAAACCATTATTTTCATATTGACGGTTATTGTTCGATAACGTGCGATGCGTTTCAAAAAACAGACTCTTACGTTACCTATCGTGAATTTTGAGAAAAGTTTACTCGAAATCGTTGTATCAGTGCAAGTATCAACTACTCCTGGATGTTTTACACGGCGTCCAAGGAGTGCAGTTGTTTACCTATGAAAATGGGGACGATACACCGTCGGTGGACAACATCCTGCCCAATTCCGTTTTTATATTTGACGATGTTATCATGGAAAAATAAAATGTAATGTTTGATTATTTCGCGCGAGGATGACACAGGCAAATTGATATTTTTTTTCTCTACCAAACACTGTCGCGCATACAAAAACAAATGTTACGTGACAACACAAATGTGGTGGTGTGTTCCGGCAGGACGAAGTTAATCTACGGCACGTATACGATGAATACGTGTGTTGCGATATGAAATTTGAAGAATTCAAAGAGTTTTGCAAAGAGTGTTGGAACAATGATCGGTACGGATTCGCAGTGATTTGTTTGGACTTTGCGTGGGACGAAGGTCGATATAGATACAAGTTTGACTCATTTGTTACAATATGAGTGCCGATAAAGAAACATTGCTGAAACTAATAACTGAAGCCCGAGAAAATGTTCGAAAAAAGTACACAGAATTGCATCGTGGCGAAGCGGATTCGTTTACTCACGTAAAACGTCAGTTGACGCCAATCATTAAGCCATTAGATAAAATTGCGTCAGAGCAACAGCAACAACAACAATTACAGCAAACTATCAAAAGTCTAAACGATGATAGATACACTATGGAACACGATGACGGGTTTTTCCATCAGTACATGTAACAATGGTCAATGAACCCCAACAGAAATAAAATGTATGGGCCAAAGGTATCACCGGATAGATCAACGACATTAGGTGAAACCGACAATATTTTTCTCGACACAGGAACAATTAATGTTTTAGATGAAAAATTCCCGCTGACTATGGGTCTTGTGGATTTACTGTTTTCGAAAAACCCTGGTGTTTACTCCGAATCGGATTTGCATGCGTACAAAACGATTCTCGGCAAAACCGGTGTGCATTTAAATAAAGACGGGACATTGAAAAAAGGAGGGCAAAAGTATGTAAACACCATTAAACCATTGTTTGACAACGGTGATGGTGGTAACGTAAAGAATTTCTTACCGTTGTTTGAAAGCAGCAGCAACAACATCGTGACACAACCAATATCGGCGCGGGCCTGCAATTAAGATTGAATAACAAGAAAAAAGATTACGTGTAATGAACAGATACCAGCGGCGTTATGAATAAGAACATTGCTAACGAACTCCACCGGCAAGTCCGTAGGACATACACTCGTGTTCGAATTAATATCAAGGATCTCGATGATATATGACACGCTGACCTCGTGGAAATGTGCGCATACCCTGTTCGATGACATCGGTATATTTTAACGTGCGTCGATGGATTTTCAAAATACGTGTGGGCCGTCCTGTTGAAAAATAAAACGGCCAACGAAGTTTCCGCAGCCATGAACGGAATACTGAAACATGGTGGGAAACATGTGGCGTGACTTAAGTGCGCGTGGCTCGTACAAATGGGTGAATCGATTGTCTGCGCTGTTGCACGACATCAATAACGTGCGTAAACATAGAACAATCGAAATGACACCGGTGCAAGTGGTGAAAAACCCAGACCTGGTTCGGTACAAGTTGCGTTAAATACCGGACAATTTACCGGTAAAATTTCGTGTGGGTGACAAGATGCGGATTAGTGTACATAAATCAGTGTTTGATAAGGGTTACTTACCAAACTAGAGCACCGAACTGTTTACCGTAGTTAAGATTAGGCAAACAGTACCGCCAACATACTATCTAGAAGACTATCAGGGAAATTCAATACGTGGTTTGTTGTACACCGAAGAGCTGAACTAGACCAGTTATCCGGGCATGTATTTAGTCGAACGAGTGTTGCGAATACGAGGGGATCAGTGCTTCGCTAAATGTTTAAGATATGGTCCAGAACACAATTCATGGATACCGAAAACCAATATTTCACCTCAATGATTGTCGATATACAAGGTATTGTGGCAGCCGACCGATCGTTTTTGGTCAAGGAACTAACTGTCATTGCCATAGACTGCACTTCAATCGCTCATTGGATGTTTAAACATCCAAAAAGTGTTAAGGGCGATGCTAAAACAAACTTTTGGTTGAAAAAATACCTACATGGAATGTATACTCGTTGCGGTGACGTTGAATACAATGAGTTGCCGAGAATCATGAAACTGTTATGGTGCGAGACCATTTACGTGAAGGGAGCTGTGGAAAAGTACATACAGGGACAACGTATAGTCTACGTCGAGGATTGGGAATGCCCATTGCTGTACAATTTGAGTTGTGTTATAAAACCATGCTGTATCCGACACATGAACAACCCGACCGTGTGTAGTTTATACAAGGCAATTTGCTTAAAACAATGGATGAATTATAATATGTAACATTATTGTCAAAAAATGATTTTGTAATATTGTCATTTGTATTTGTATAATCAATATATTTTCCATAAATAAAATGTATATTAATGATTATAGTAAAATAAATAATTATTTCTTAAATACGTGTAGTACTTACTATTGGTTATTAATACCTATTGTAAGATAATTTGGTATTATCAAAATAAAATGTGGGTAATTATTTTAATTAATTAAGCATTTATTATAATATCAATTTTAAATTACATTTATTTACAATTTTAATTCAGTCAAATATTACATTAAAAAATCTTAATACTATATTTGCCACTATATACTTATACAACAGTTATATTTACAAAAAAACCTTATCGTAAAATTCAATTACACGGTTTAGCACACAATATATTTTACATTTGTCAATATGGATATTTAATAATTTTTACAATCTTATTATTATTGTAAAAACTAATGTTGATTAAATTACTTCCGGCGGATTGGCATAATGACCGTAAGCCAGCGTGTCAACTCTGTTGTCGAGCGTGTAACGTTTATCGTCGAAACGGTTAAGCGCAAAACTTGGTTGTACGTAAAGTCCGTACCTCGTGCTCAAAAGAACAAATTGACACGTTCTGTTGGTACGAAGTGTACGGTAGTGATAGTGTCGGTGGAATCTCACCATCACATATGGCTCCGAAGACTACACGGGCATTCTCTCCGTCCAACGCTCGTTTTGACGCAACGTCATCATCAACG